TTCCAAAGGTTTGCTTCTGTAAAGTATACATCAATTTGGAAATTCATCTCCAAGACCCTCTTTGGTAGCATAAATGAAGAGAGCCATATAGTCTTCAGATATGTCAGGAGATGAGCAATTTCTGAATTCAGAAATTTATAAACCTCTCTTAAAGAATATATGATTCTGTGAATACTCATCAGTATAATTTTGAAGTCCGAAGGATAAGGATAAAAATTGGAAAAAATTAGGTAGATAAAAGAGGTATACTGGGTAATAAACAAGGAACTATTAAATATATACATATATATTTGCACATACGTGTTTGTACATATACACACACACATACTTTTAATGAGTGAACACTATTGCATATATTGTTTTTATATGTACCATTCCATAAGCTTCCTTTCACATTAAAGTATTCTAGAGAAGTGAGCATATTGGAGTCAAAAAATAAATTATATATATACATATGTATTATGAGAACAAGACAAAACGAGAACATGAAAATAACTGAAACTCATGATTTTCCATTTTCCTTAAACTCTGCCTTGAGTGGTGTTTGTTTTTGCTTGATCCATTTATAGTCTCCAGTTTTTCCCAATACAGTTAAAATGGTCCCAATACAATTTTTAACGCCTTTGTCTTGTTTGCTCTTTGGTATGGTTTGCAGTTGGCAGTTATCATGAGTGCAGTGACTCGTTCATTCATAATTATCTTTCTGATGCCTTATTTTTGAGGACTACTATTAAATTTGGCATAAGTCATTTTTCAGCAAAGGAGGTGACATTTATTTCTGTAAGATCAAGTAATAACTCATTTCGTGTGGGGGAAGCAGTATTTCCTGTATGGCTTAGAAAACGTACAGCTACCTGTCTTCTGTTTCTCAACCACACTGTAAACAATGCCAAAGGGAGTTTTGATTCGCTGCTGCTTCTTCTTTTTTCTTTAACAAATCTGTCTTAAGGTACACTCTGTGCTATTCACTTTATACATATCTCTAATCCTTAAACAATCTGAAAAAACAGCTGTCATTGTCCTTATCTTCCTGACGGGGTACCTGTAACTCAGAAGTTTAAGTAATTTGGCCACAATCACAGCCAGTTAGTGTTCCAGGGCATCAGATCACACCCTCTTTTGTGACTCTTTTCCTTGGTAAACTATTCAAATGAAGCAGATTATTCAATTTATAAATATCTTCCTTCACAAACCCAATAACCAAAGTAAACCAGAAAAAGAGACAACAGAGTTTACGGGCTACGATATTCTTGAGGACAGGAAGGATGGCTTTTACGTCTTTTGTAGTGGTTAGGAGTGCATAGACTATCTGGGCTTAAAAGCCACTGTGCCTCTTACTAGCTCTTTAAAAGCAGCAGGTTACTCACCTCTCTGAGACTCAGTTTACTCATCTATAATTCTGGGGAATAATAGTATCTATTTCATTGTGCAGATTAAGTGGGATAACAAATATAAAGTGCTAAGCACATTGTCTGGCACATGGAAAGCACCTGTAAATATAAGCCGAGTTTCCACATAATAATAGGTGTTCATTCAATGTTGAACAACAAATAATTGTAATTAAAGTGAGAATGAGAAAGAACATGACTTGGATGTAATGCCCAAGAGCCTTATGCCTCAAAGAGTCTTCTCCAGAATAGCAGGATTACCATTACCTGGAAACTTGTTAGAAATGCATATTAACGGGCCCCACCCTAGGTGTACTGAATTGGAAACTCTGGGGTAGAGCAGAGGAGCTGTGTATTAACCAAGTTTCTAGATGATTCTTGTGTGTACTACTGTGAAAATCATTGACCCAGAAGTTAGGAAGTGCACTTTTAATCATTTTATATAGTGACTACCACTTAATTAGTGAACATGGTGTAAACTAATAAACACTGCTAGCCAGCTATTGGATCCTTTGCTACACCTACACGACATGTATTTATAGAGAAACTGAAGACCAGAAGCTCCTCAGTGGCAGTGATGCTCTGTCATATATGTTTGGCCTCAAAGTGCAGGGCACATACTAGGAATTCAAGAAAAGTTTTAACTAATTAATTCGTTTTGCTAAGTTTCTTTTACTTAACTGGCAAATCTACTTGTTTGCCATGTTTAAAAACATGTTAAGCTTATTTCATATTACATATAGTTTTTATAGCTAAAACAAAGTATAAATTTCAGAGTATTTTTGGATATACAAAAGAATTATATTTTTCTCTCAGAAATATTCTGAGGGTTTCTTTGGAGCTTGTTTTTTGTTTTGTTTTTTGTTTGTTTATGTGTTTGGCTCTAAAGAGCTGGAGGAGAAGGAGGGGGAGGGGGAGGAGAAGAAAAAAACCCCACAGTGAATTGGTTTCATTAACATGTGTCACACTACCGACTAGCTAAGGAGAATTTGGTAAATTAATGGCCAATATTTAGAATCTGCGAATCAGCACATGGTATAGAGAAAAATTATACAATCCTTGTTTTCTTTTTCACAGAAACTGCACATTAAAGTGCTAACTAAACTTCAGGCGCAAAGATCCAGCTTGCTAACTCTGCTATAATCATGATCATGATCATCGTCAAGTAACGCTTAAGCACCTATGACGTTGGTGCATTATGATAAGATGATGCAATTTATTAAAATTATGCAACATATCTAGACATAGAGAAAATAATCAGGTGTGAGCCCTGATTACCATTTTTTTCCCCATTTTACAGTCTTTATTTACATTTTAGAGTAGCGTGGCATCTGAGAAAGAACAAGGCCATTGTGGTCAAACAGACTTGAGTTACTATCAGCAAGTGTCTAACATCATAGCATAGTGTTGTTATGAAACTCCAGCAGTGCTGGTTACATAAGATGTGCTCAGTGCAAGTTATTATTGTTGTTGTCATAGCTATTATTATTATTATGAAACTTGAAGGTACATAAGCAGTTGAAGGAACAACACTCTCACCTCATGCTGACAAGCGAGTAACTGTCTGTCATCTTCTAGACACAAGAAAGGAGGTTGAAATATTTTTTCTATCTCCAATTTCTAAACACTTCAAAAATAGAGTCATTATCTTCAAGAAAGCAAACCTTAGAGAAAATTGCCTCTTAGAAACCGAAGGAAAAAAACACAGGATGCCAGGCCATCACAACATTGTATAAAATGCTCCTACAACAAACATTTTAGCTCAGGGGCCAGATATCTTGACTTAAGAGGGCAACGTTTTCATTGGAAAGTGATTACAGCTTAATGGAGTCGTCTGTGAGAAAATTAGAAAAAAGAAGTGAGAAAGATCACGACCTCTACATTTAATTAAACTTCTTCAGGTTGCTACTTCTTCTGCAAGTTGATTAATAAAAAGTATATGCTACCACACTTTCTAAAGTGTGAATATATGTAGTTAGTCATGAAATAATCATACAGTCAGCTAAAATAACTTGCTTTGTTTTTAAAATAAATGTTGCATCTTACAGAAAGGGAAGTATTGGGGCCAGCCCTGTGGCCTAGTGGTTAAGCTCTGTGAACTCCACTTCGGTGGCCTTGGTTTGTGAGTTTGGATCCTGGGCGCAGACCTACACTACTTGTCAGCCATGCTGTGGTGGCGACCCACATACAAAATAGAGGAAGACTGGCACAGATATTAACTCAGGGTGAACCTTCCTCAGCAAAAAACAACAAAAAAAGAGAAGTATTGAGTCTAAATCTACCTTAATTCTTCAAAGACAAGTGAGCCACAGATGTAACAGCAAAGGCTCTGGCTTCATCAGACAGAATAAGGTTCACTCCCAGCTCCATCACTTATTCAGTGTGGAACTTTGTGCAAGCTACTTAGCTTTTCTGAGAATCAGTTTCTTCATCTATACAATGGGACTGATAATAGGATGTACTTAGTAGGATTGGCGCAAGGAATAAAGGGATTATATAAAAAATTATTTATAAAAAAATAAATAATTTTTACAAGTGCCTTGTATACAGTAACTACTCAATAAATGTTAACTGGCATTATATTCAAGTTACACACAAAATAAATGACTAAGTAGGGAAAGCATTCCATGCCTACAAATTCCCCCTTATTGATAGCTCTTCATCTTAATATTGTTTTGTCCTACTCCCAAAAAAGAACTCAACAAATAAAAAAGAATAACAAAGAGAAAGCTCTTTCAAGAATAGAATTATAGAAACGTCAATGATAAGTTTGCAATAAGTAATAAGGAATCAGTAATTAAAAACTGCAAATACACAATATTAACTGATTTCAAAAATATTGTCCATTTCCATACAAAGATTTTACACAATCTTTCCACAAATTGTCAATGTTATCCTTGAATTCGAAGTATCCTAATTCTTCCTTGCCTAATCTTTGGAGCCATTTAACACGTTCCTTATCCTCGTTTGTTGTTTTAGCTTTTTAGGCACAAATACTCGTCTAAAATTAGAATTTACCATCTGAGAATATTAAGTTAAACCACGTTTCTTGAAGAATATTTTGCCATACTCCTGTTATGTTTCCATTTTTTAAAAGAGAAGAAAAATAAAGACAAATACTTTAGACTTTAAAAAAGGTTTTTTGACAGCTTTGGAAGAAGAACATGGCAAAACAACACCTCATCTTTGGGAAAACAGCAAAAGGCAAAAACAGATCATCACTAACAGAAGGTAAATTACACAGTGGAGTTGAGCGACTGAGATATAATTGATTCTGCCAGGATAAAAATGGAACAGAACCAAGAGATTATAATGAGAATCATTTTGGTACTAAAGAAGACCCCTCTAACAATGGGTGTGCGTTCGAATCCTAGTAATCATTATAGGCTCATTTTCCTTGTTCATGGTCACATGATAAAGGCCTTAAGAGAAGCCTTGGCATTTTAAATTGCTCAGTCTTGCTAGCTGAAGTTCTTTTTCTTCTGCTTTCTTAGGCAAAATTATTTTCCCATGTTACTAGAATAATGCTTTGGAGTAGCATTGTGAATTTATACAGAACAAGAGGGAAGGCAGAACTGGAGACTAGGGCATTGTGAAGGGAAGAGAAATTACCTGTGGGCATCTGCTCCAAGGTCCCCACTCGGACATGACACATTCATTGGGACACAGAAGAGAGCAGGATTGGGTTTCTGGAGGAATTTCATCCTGGTTGCAGAGGCTGTTATCCACTATTCCACTTTCACTATCAGCAGCATTCATACATCTATAAGGCAAGATCATAAGATAGTTTGATTACTTAAGACAGTGAAGAGTCAATTTAAAATAGTTATAGTATCATAGCTACTTACCCCTCAACAATAGTTAAACATAAAATAAGACCAGCAGAAAAACCAGAAGAAAAAAAATCCCCTCTTTAGCCAGTCAGCCCTGTGGAGTGATAACTCAGTGCAGAACCCTCTATTCAGCAGAGCAGGAGAGAACAATGGGAAGACAACGGGAAGACAAAGCAGGAGAGAAAATTGTCATCCTTGAGGAATTCTCCACCTAAAGAGACCTATAAGATTGTTACTCAGGTCCAGCATGAAGTGAATTTTCTCTTTATTGTAACAAATCTTGAAGGCTCTCCTTCTCTGAATGAATCCATCACTTTGTAATAGCTAGAGCCTCCATAGTTCCTGTGACTCTCTGAGACCTTCCCTAGACTTCTATCTCATATCATCTAAACTTCCCTAGTCTTATCCAACACATTTAAGCTCATGGCAAAGTAATGTGAAAAATAATTGAACATGTTTTTCCTTCAGGTATTTTCTGCATTTCAGTAAGGAATTTTGGTATCAAAAACCAAAGGGCAATGAGCAGGCATTTTCATGCAGCAATTGAACACACAGTATAGATGCACATATTACAGTTGCTTGGTCTACTCTGTGGCAGACTTTGAGACAAGTGCTGGCAAAGATAAGATAAATAATCATGCTATTGATTCAATCAAATTAAAACCAAAGTGCTATACCACTCTATACCCCCCAGAATGGCTTCAATAAAAAACATGGAAAATATCAAGGGTTGGCAAGAATGTGGAGTAATTGTAACTCCTCTTACTCTGCTGTTTGGATCATAAACTCTTTGGAAAGCTAGTTGGCAGTGTCTACTAAAACTAAGCATACACATACTATGTAAGCCAACAATTCCACTTCTATTTACATACGCAAAAGAAATGCATACAAACGTACACCAAAAAAAAACTGACTGAAAATGTTCATAATAGCACTATTCATAATCAACCAACCTAGAAATAGTCAAAATAGTTAACAGTACAATACACAAATATATTGTGGTAAATTCATAAATTAAATGCTATAAAAAAAGTGGTGAGAATGCATGAACTATTGTCACATGAAAGCACATGTGGCTGAAGCTCACAAATACAATGTTGAACAAAAGAAGCTAGACTCAAGAGTATCTACTGTATCATTCCATTTATATAAGGTTAAGAAATAAGCAACACTCATCTACAATGTCAGAAGTCAGAATAATGGTTACCCTTGGGGGTATGGTTACTGACCGATTGGGGCTTAGGTACTCCTGGTAATATTCTGTTTCTTGGGCTCTGGGCTGCTTACATGGGTGTGTTCACCTTGTGAAAATTCATCAAGCTGCATCCCTATGATGTGGGCATTTCTCTGCATTTATATTATATTTCAATTAGAAGTTTATTTTAAAATTATTTTCTAAAAAATGTTTAATAAAGAGTTGCTATGTGCAAGCCTCTTTTGCTAGGTGTTGGGATACAAAATTATTTGTTAATAATGATTCATTCATTAATTATTTTTGAGGGCTTACTATGCACCAGGCCCTCGTCTGGGTGCTGCAGTACAGAACTGACAAAAAGACAGACAAGATCCCTATTGTTATGAATCTTTTCTTCTAGTGATAATGATCAAAGTGAAGGTGAAAATGACAATGATGATGAGATAAGTGGTGCCATTTGCTGATCCAGTAATTTCACACACAATGCCACAGCCAAGAAGTAAGCATTTTAAGATGGATGCCTGGAGAGCTTTTGGTGCTCCCCAAATCATTCTATGCTGGAATGAATTATCCTACATATTAGGAGTTCATTTTACAAAAAAATAAAATTTTTAAAAAAAAATCTTAAAAAATTTAAAAAATTGCAAAGTCTATCACCAGGTACATAATAAAATAAGCTTTATGAGGTGCTAAATAATGAAAAACTATACATTGTATAAAGGAGATTAACAGAGAATGGTAGAAAGAAGATGTGAGTAATGCCTTCTAATGTAGGGAGGCATGATATACAGGTATCTACGGACTTTAGTTTCTCCTGTGGTGATAGTCAATAGTGGAAGGAGGGACCATGAGATGTCTTACATGTCTTTCTCTGGACAAACTTAAAAGCTGGAGATTGCTTTCCTTCTTGCCTGCACACTTTCAGCTGATATCCTTTTATTATCTCACCGAGAAAGAAGAGGTAAGACTTCTGATCAATAGTGTCCAGTTGAGCAACTGGAAGGATGTGCAGCTATGACATACAACTATCTACTGGGGCTTTGGGGGAAAAATAAATAAATAAATAAAATCTTAAAAAAAAAAAATAGTGTCCAGCATTAGTCTTTGTTCACTCTCAATATGCCACAAAAACAATAGTAAAGGAATTTGTTACCAAAAAAAAAAAAACCCATCAAGGGGGAGGGAAAGGCATTACCCTACAAGGATAAAGAACATGGAAGAGGACAAAGGCAATAAATGGAAAATAAATGAGCTAGTGGTAATTGCCTTAGCACTCCAAGAAAACTAAATACTAAACCTTCAAGAGAAAACAAAGTAACTCCATTTATATCACAGAACACATAAAATATCTGGGAATCTGTGGCACCAAGTACCTCTGGAAATGTGGATGAAAGTGAGGCTGAAAAAGTGGAGGATTTATTGAAAATATGTTTAAGAAGTACCCAGGTCCTCAGATCCCCTCCCCCAATCCACACAGCTAGGCGATGGCCCTCCTCTACCACTGCAGGTTATTGAAGGTTTATTAATCTGGGGAAGGTCACAAAGAAGGACTTTGGGTTTAACAACACATGTTCCTCTTAAGGATGGGTACATCCTACTGAAAACAAGGATTAAGTAAAAGTTAACATAGTGAAAAAACTACCAGAAACTGAGTAGCTTAAACAATGCTAATTTATTATCTTACAATTCTGTAGTATAGCCATCCAACATGGATCTCACTAGGCTAACTCAGCACTTTGGTACAGCTGCATTCCTTCCTCAAGGCTCTAGAGGAGAATCCATTTCCTTACCTTTTCCAGGTTCTAGAGACCACCCACATTCTTTGGGCCATGGTCCTTTTCTCCATCTTCAAAGCCAGCAGCCTTGCATCTCTCTATGCTGCTTCTGTAGTCACATTTCCTCTCTTTCTCTCTTGTCTCCTTTTTGAATGAATTGTTCCACCCAGACAATCCAGGAAAATCTTTCTGTCTCAAGACCTTACCTTTAGCACATCTGCAAAGTCCCTTTTGCCATGTAAGGTAACATATACATAGATTTCAGAGATTAGAATATGGACATCTTTGGGGGCCATCGTTCTGTCTACCACATCAGCCTTCTTTCATTGGGGTCCCAAAACACTGGCTGCTAGGGTTATCTGCTTCACACATGATTCAAGAAGAGACTTTTCTTGGGGTTCTGACAAGCCCAAGAGTAAAGACTTAAAAAGACTGAAATTGAAAGTGTTCAAATGAAAACACTCCTGCAGTTACCCTCTACATATCCTGTGTCATCAATTTCCTTGCCACATCTCTCTTCAGTCATTACTTCATTTCTACTTAAATTCATTACAAAACTACTCTAAATAAAGTACGTCTACATTTGCTCTTGTGGGAGATCAGAATTGTCCACCCCAAAATGTGTCTCTTTGGCTTGATTATTTTTAAGGACAAAGACTCTGAAAGAAACTTTGACCTTTCCCCTAAATGCCTAAAAGAATTCAAGATAAAAGGCCTGTTCCAAGACACGCCATCACCATAGATAACTCTGGGAGGATCTTTGCTAAGCACATTTTTATCCAAGTTCTGTCTCTCAGGGTCACATTGTCTATAGATGGCCCAGCAAACATTTGTTTATCAAACATTTGCTTTTCCATCTCCATGTAAATTGCCTTCCTCCCCTTTGAAATCTCAAACCACTACTCCCAACATCCTCCTTTGTCTTTAGCTGAAGATGGTATTTAAGGTGGTGGCTTTGGCCCTTTTAGCAAGTTACTCAGATTTCTTGTGTTTCTCCCATATATATATGTTAAACTTTTTAAAATTTTCTCCAGTTATTCTGTCTTATGTCAATTTACTTCTTAGACCAGCCAGAAGGACTTAGAGGGTAGAGGAATAGTTCTTCCTCCCCTACACTAACTCCACTTCTTTCTCTCCTCTCCTTCCATTACTACCTCTTGAACTTACTTTAATCACACTTTTATTACCATACAGAGAAATCTCTTATCATGATCATCAACAGATTCTCCGTTACCAAACTCAATGGTCAATTCTCATCTTAGTAACCTCCCAGAACCATTTGAAACAATTGATTATTATCTCTTTCTTGAAAATTCTCTTGTTTATCTTCCAATTGTCTTGGTTTCTCTCCTATTCCACTGGCTCTTTCTCAGTCTCATTTGTAGATTTCTTTCTCTTTGCTCTAATCTGCGAATGTTGGAGTTCCCCATGGCTCAATTTCTTAAGTCTTTTCTTATTTATATATCAAATTCATAAGCTGCTGATGCCCAACTTTATACAATCCCATCTCTCTCTGAATTCAAGACTGTAATATTTCAGTTGGAAGGCTAATATTATCTCAAATTTAATGTGCTCAAAAGCTAACGTTTGATTTTATTTCTCAAACCTACTTCTGATATTCCTCTTCTCCACAAATGCCACCATCATTACTATGATTTCTCAAGCTATAAAACTCAGTAGTCATCTTTGATGCTTCTCTTTCTTCCACATTCTATAATTACTTGATAAGCAAATCCTGTAGTCTATACCTTCCAAATGTGACCTGCTCACCACCTTCACTATTCCTAAGCCCAATGTGACCCTCAATCTCTCTCACCTGGAATTTTGCAATGGCCTTCAAACCTTCATCCTTGCTTCTACTTATATGCCAAATACCAAAATACCTTCTTTGCATCCAGTAAGGTCCTTTTCAAATGTAAATAAGAGCATATCATTCCCTCTGTCTCAAACTTTTCATAGCCTCGTGTTGCAGTTAGAATAATATCCTTTTACTTTGCTGTAGAGGACTACATGATTTGAGTACCAGCACCAGCCATATGGGACATCTTCTTAACAAGCCAAGAAGGTTCCTGCTTTGGACACTCCCTCCCCCTGGAATTCTCTTTCTATAGATCTTTACATTCATTCAGGTCTCTCCCCAAATATTTTGCGGACCAATCTCTCCAAAATAGTATTCTCCATTACTCCATCGCAATTTCATTTTTCTTCTTGGTATTTCATAGCAAAGACATTCCATTATGTGTTAATTTATGTGTTTATTTTGTAAGTTCTTTGAGGACAGAAACTTTTTTGCTTACTTTTTTAATCCCCAGTCCCTAGAACAGTGAGTGAGAATAGAAGGCAAATATTCATAAATATTTTTTCAATTAATAAATGATTGCAGGGCCGGCCCCGTGGCTTAGCGGTTAAGTGCGCGCGCTCCGCTACTGGCGGCCGGGGTTCGGATCCCCGGCGCGCACCGACGCATCGCTTCTCCGGCCATGCTGAGGCCGCGTCCCACATACAGCAACTAGAAGGATGTGCAGCTATGACATACAACTATCTACTGGG